ACATAGTCATATGTTTTCTTGATATCTACTTTGAACATACACCCAGGAGGAGAACTCTTCCTTCGTCTATATCACCCTATCAAATCTTGCACAATACAAATGTTGTGATAGATTCTTCTCCCAGCTACAAAACCTAACTGACTCAAAGAAATAATTTTAGGCAACACCTTCTTCAACCTGGAACGTAGAAGCTTTGTAATGACCTTGTACATCACATTACAACAGGCTATTGGCCTAAAGTTAGTAATAGAAACTGGTTGATCACATTTTGGAAGCAAGACCAAATTTGTACAGTTAATTTCCTTCGGTAATTTTCCTGAATAAAAAATTTCCTCAATAGCTTCATAAATATCTTCCCCCACCACACTCCAGCTAAGCTTGTAAAAAGAACTATTAAACCCATCAGGGGCCTAGGGCCTTGATTCCTAAAATCCCAAACATGGCCTTCCTTATCTCTTCTTTAGTAAAAGGAGCACTCAAAGCAGTAGCTTGCTCCTGGGACATAGTCTTTCTTAGACAAATAATACTATGATCCACTTTAACAGAACAAACATGCTTAGGTCCCAATAACCATTGATAACACTCCACAAAGGCATTACTAACCTCATTTTAAGAGTAGCACCGATTCCCATTCATATTAGAAATAGCCACCACTCTCTTTCTATAAAGCACTAACTTTCAAGTTTCTAAGAAAGAAACTTGTATTATCATCACCCATTTTTAACCAAGAGATCTTACTTTTCTGCTGTAAGAAAGAAAAATAATTTTTCCTTAGAGTATAAAATCTAGTAAGCACCTCAGATTCCTTTTCCTGCAAACTATAACTATGATCATTGTAGTTAATCATAATCTGCTTTTGAATATCAACCAGTTCATCTTTCACTGATAAAAATCTAGTTCCCACCTCAGAATATTCACTTTTATTCAAACCTTTAAGAGCATCTTTCACTTGTTTCAATTTTTTCACAACTTGAAACATTTTCTTCCCATACACTGTAAAACTCCCAGCATCTCTAACCAATTCATCAAATGCTGGATTATTACCCCACATATCAAAGAATTTGAAAGGTTTAAGCCCAGACCTCACTTGTTCCTCAAACAAAGTAATAGCTAGGCAATGGTTAAACTAGAGCTCAGGGTTATTATGCACATAAGACCTAGGGAAATCTCTAAGCCACTCAGAGTTTATCAAGGTTTTGTCTATCTTGCATCTCTCTGCTGCTTATTTGTCCAGGATAACTTAGCACCTAGCTGAACCATATCCTGCAAGTCACAACATTCCACACAATCTCAAAAAGGTCTCATCTCCCCAAACATTATTTGTCTCCCTATTCTGTTATCAGAATTCAAAGGACAGTTGAAATCTCCAAAACAATCCAAGGCCTAGCTTAGTGCGGCTACTAGCAAAGTACCCTAACTGATTCCAAAGCTCACTCCTAACATCAATATCATTTAAACCATAAACAAACGAGCAGTCAAATCCCTTTTGCAAGGTCTTATTAACAACCTTTGTATGAATGATTTGAGGCCCAGCAAACACAATATCTACATTGAATATGTCTTGCAACCAAGCTACCAATATTCTACCACCCTTATCTTGACTAAAATTGTAGTCACACACCAACTAGAAAACATTCTCTGATAAACATCAGGAAAATTTTCAATAGACACCTTAGTCTCCAAAAGACAACATAAGCCGATATTATTCTGAAGCAAATAATTCTTGGGCTATTTAAGCCCCTAATATTCCACACAATAGCTTTATCCATACCCCTTTTCAGGAGTAACATCACCACCCAAAGTTTCTTTAGCTACAAGAACATCTCCAACCATGACCATTGCCTCATCACTACCAAGGGATTCAAAAGCATTTCTAACTCCCCCCCCCCCCATTTTGTTCAGGTTGCCTAATAGGTGTAGACACCTAAAAATGTCTCCCCAAAACCAAACCCGATGATGAACAACCTTTCACCGCCATTATTGGTCGGGTTGAGTTTTTAATTTTTGGAGTGCTTAAATCCATATTTTCATTTCATAAACCAACCCAATTCCTAGCCCATTTCCAAAAAAATAACTTATTTTCCTCTTTTCGTGCCTTTAAACCCAAAATAATTCATTTCGTGTCCTTTAAAATCATTCATTTCGTGTCCTTTTTATAAAAACGTTTAATCCAGTTTATTTTGGTATAGAATATGGGTCCAATGATTTAATAGTTGGATGGGGCTTTAAAAGATCTTTCCAACGATATATTATAAGCCCAAATCCGAGTTATAACGAATAAGTTATGGCCAAAATATTAAATTGAGCCCAAACCGAACCCACCTTACCTACGACCCAATGATCATGTGGAGGGTCCAAATTATTTAATCCCATTCCTAAACCAATTAGGATTAATTGGAAGCTTCTACAAGTTTCTAAAATATCTTAATTATCCTTTTTGAAAAAATAAGATTAAAGAGTTTGAAATTGAATAAAACTCCTTTTTTTGAAAGTCCTAATTTTATCCGAATTGAAAGTCGCTCAAAGATAGACAGATATGAATTTCGTGCCTAATATTTTTTATCTGAATTTTATCTAGTTGGATAGCCCTTGAAATTATCTTTCCAATGATATATTATAATATCAATTCCGAGCTATAACGGAAAAGATATGAATAAAATGTCAAACTCAATCCAAAACTGACACCGTCTCACTATTTCGGCCATATCTTTTATTCTATAAAATATTTTAATCTGATTTTAATTGGGTTAGAAAGTAGACTTCAAGATCTTTCCAACGATATCTTATTCATCTTATTCCGATTTCTGGATCAAAACATATGATAAAAACAAAAATCGCAAAAACTGCTGTCTATCGAGTTTTATTCCGATTTAATTCGAATCTTTTTCTTGATTCTTCGGCCTTCTTTTTTCTAATTTTTCTTAAATAAACCTGGTCCACAATAACATTATTGTGGACCAAACTTATCACGTGACTTTACTCAGCTTAGTTTACTCTTCTCTCCTCTCCTCTCCTATTTTCTTACATATTAATTGCTCCTCCTTTATTTTGACAATTAATCTGACACTTTCTCTCTCTTACCTTCTTCCATTTTCTCTCTCCTCAACTCGAGTTCTTCAATGGTGAGAACCAGAGGAGGTGGTACATTTCAACGAAAACGCGGCCTCCATTCTTCTGCTACAAAAGTCGACGAACCACAACCTTCAGGTAATCTTCGTTTATATCTTTTTTTCTGCAATATTTAGTTGATTAATTGTTGTTTTCTTTAATTGAAATTATTTGGATGAATTTTGTATGAATTTTTGTTTGAATTTTGTTTCGTAGTGAAGATATAGGGTTTTGCGATGCTTGATTGTTATTTCGTTCAACTTTGATTGTTTTTTGTTTTGTGATTCAATTTTATTGATAATGTGTTGTTGTCGATGATTATTTGTGTAAATTTGAGCTGATTATTTGTTGTTTTTCTTTAATTTAAACTATTTGTATGAATTTTTGTTTTAATTTTGTTTTGTGGTGAAGATATAGGGTTTTGCTATTTTCGATTTTTATTTTCTTTCAATTTTGATTGTTTCCTGTTTTTTCATTCAATTTTATTGTTAATGTGTTGTTCTCGATTAAGATTTGTGTAATTTTGAGCTGATTAATTGTTGTTTTTCTTTAATTGAACTATTTGCATTAATTTTGTTTCGTACTGAAGATCTAGTGTTTTGTGAGGTTTGAATGTAATTTTGATAGCAATATGTTTCATGTATGATTTGTTAATTGTGCTTTATATAATAATTATAAAAATTGTCAAAGGTTACTATAATATACATTTTGATTTCTTTTGTATACAAATGTTGTCAAAGGCTTGAAGAAGAATACTAGAGCTAAAAAGAAAAAGAATGTTCCTGAGCAAGATGTTTCCAGAGAGCTTCATGAGCATCAGGCAACTGGTTCACCTTCGTCCCGGCAAAAGAGAACTCGTGAAGATGAACCTGAACCTAGTGATCAAGCTACTGCTCTTGTTCGTGTTAAGAGGCAAAGGATAAGAACAAATAAAGCAACAGTTGAAGCTGGTGGTGATGTACCTATGTAAGTAACTTTGTTTACTTTGTAGTGTTCTCAAAAAATTAGATTCAACATGCATGTTTGTGTGACTTTGCATTATTATTTCTATTTTGCAGATTGCGACCATTTAAAACTAAATGTAGGCCTTTGCAATTGGTTGACTTGATGTCTAACTTTACTGATGCTCAAAAATTTTCTGTGAATGAAATCGGCTTTGGAGGGTTGTTATCATTGAAGTTGAAAAGGAATCCTACTAGTATGTATAGGTGGATAATTGATTGTTTTGACTGTGGTAGCTGCATGTTTTCAATAGACAATAGTAAGGAGTTTGTGGTCACTGAATATGATGTGTATGACGTATTTTGCCTTCCTTTGAACCCTAATAATGTTGAGGAGATACCTCAATCTACTAATAAAAGTAATCCTGACTTTGTTTTCAAACATAATTGGAGGTTGAATTTTGGGTTGGCAGATGAAAATGACCAAATTCCAGTTAATTTGTTAGAGGATAGGATACCTACTTTAAATCAAGGTGGAGATGAGTTTAAGCAACTCTTTGTTATGCATGCAATATCCTCTTTTTTGGTTCCTACTTCTAACCGAACTGCTGATCTTAGGATTGCTAAGGCACTTGATGATGTTGGACAAATTAAAAATTTGAATTGGTGTAAATATGTTCTTGAAAAACTGTGTGAAGGTGTTAAAAGTTACCAAAAAGGAGAAATTCAAAATTGTTGTGGTTGTATTTTGATGTTGGAGATTATTTACTTTCATAGGTTGAAATTTAGGAATGTTGAATTAAGTACTTCTTTACCCTTAATTCAACATTGGAATGATGAGTTGATTAGGGACAGAATTAAGAAGGAAGAGTTGTCGAAAAGTTTTGGGTCAGGGATTTTGCTCTGTGATGTGTAGCCTGTTAGTCGTAAGCTGAATTTTCAGGATGCTCCTGTGGGTACTACAGGGGGAAGTGTGGGAAATGTTGAAAATGTTAGGGAGGGTAATGATGTACCTGGTACAATACAGTTTAATCTCCCACCAGGTTCGATGTCAGATCAGGAGATCCATTCATCTGCTATTGATGTAAGGAATAGCTGACTTTTATTTCTTTTTTTTTTAATTATTGGATTTGATTTCAATATTTATACATGATTTTTTTAATCTCTTTGCAGCCTGTTCATGAACAATTTTTGTTCATGAAAAGAGATATGAATGTGATATCTTGTTTTTACAATGACAACATAAAACAGATTCTTCTTTCACACCGCAATGAGATCCACAATGCTCTTGGTATTAATGATTCTCAGGATGATCATTTTTTTTGGATCCTCAAGTTCAATCTGTGATTGATGAGATCTCTGAACTTGCTATTTGGGTGACAAAAATGCCCGAGGTGTTGGATCAAGTTTATGCATTTGAGCACAACAAGACAAATGAAGGGAGGGAGGAAATTAGGGAGGAAAATAGGGGAACTGTACCTGTGATTGGCTTTGAAAATATTATTACAAATGGAGGGTCCAGGTGTTCGATTGCTTTTTAAATCTGATGAAAGGCTCATTGTTATTTCACACTTTTTGAAGTCAAATAACAAGGAAATGAAGCTATTGGATCCATTAGTCTTAGAGATTGTTGACTATTGCATTATCAATGATTCTTGTTTGCCTCCTAAGTAAGTAAGCTTTTGTTTGATTACATTGTTTTTCTTTTATTTTTTTATTTATTTATGAAGCACTTTTTTAATTCTTATTTTGTATTCTTTGACACAATGAACTATTGGTATGCTTTCATGAAAATCATTTGATTCAAAGGCAAGAGTTCTACACATTAGGAGAGCCTTCTGAAATCATGAGCAGTAGTATTTTGGATTGATGGGCGTTGCTTCTCAATGAAAATCAGAAATTTCTTAAGGATGGATCTCGAAAATTGTACTTTGGTTCTTCAATTAGTGTGAGTTGTTTGATTATTTCAATGTTTATACATGTTTTTACTTTTCACTTTTTTTTTTATTTTTTTAAATGTTATGAAGGTTACAATAGTAGAAGTTGCCGGCAGTGATGACAATTCACAACTAGTGGACAATGTATATCAAGAATTGGAGGAGTGGATGAAAATAGCTTGCAATAATTTTAATTTGTCAGAAGTGGAGCTGGTAATACTTTCTTTTTTTGATGCTATGATAATATAGTCCCTTTTTTTTATGTTGTAGTTACCTTTATTTAAATGAGAGTGCATATTGTAAAATACTGTTAGAAAGTCTACATTATAAATTGTTTTGGTTTCTACTGGTACTTTATATACAATTGTTTTGGTAGTTGTATTTTTTTTTATGTTGTAGGTACCTTTATCACAATTACAAATGATATGTGTTTTTTTTATTGTTAATTATGATATCTTTGTTGCAGATATTTTTACCTTGTCTAAGTGGCAATCACTATTACTTATTTGTGGTGAATTTGACTCAAGGAAAAATTCAGTTTATTGATAATCTGAATTATGATGAGGATGGTCGTAACTTCTTGAAAAAGTTATCTAGTCTCTTGGTATTACTTTCTCACTCTTCCATATTTTCACTATTTTCTTGTCTAAAGGTTTTTACAGTGAGTTTAGTAATTAGGATTTGGACAAATTTTAAACTAGTTTACATTTTATAATGACTCTTAATAGATCATTTAATGTGACTGTGATCTGATTATATGATTTTTTGGTAGTGTGATATGATCAGTACCTTCTTTGATCAAAGACTTACTCAATCTAGAGCTATGGTTGACTATGCTTTGGAGTTTCCTACTTTGAATTGGAGATCTAGCAAAGATAATTCAGATTCTGGTGTTTATACTGTAATGAGTATGCTTTTATTCAATGGAGCTGATGAGTTTAAATGTGAAATTTTAAAAACAGTTATGGTTCTATTCCTTTTAACTTATTTCTTTTATTTCTTTTAATTAATATCACAATATCTTATATTGATTATATACTTTTTTAGGCTTCAAATAGGAAGATTCTCCGGGTTCAAATTGCTGCATCTTTATTGTTATCTGATATGAATGAAGTTAGATCAAATGTAATTGGTAAGGTGGCTGAATTCAAACCTGATAGGCAGCGTCTTTCAAAAGAGGTTGAAGAAAGAAGGAAGAAAGAGATTGAGCAGAGGAAGAATAAGAAGAAGCAGACTGTAGACAAGAAGAAGAAAGGAAAGGCTTAAGATATCATAATTTTCTTGAAACTAAGAAAGGAAAGGCTTAACATTGTGTAACTGATTTTAAACTTAGTTGTTATCATAATTTTCTGAAACTAAGCAAAGTACTTTGAAGAATGTACAGCTAATTAGTATCCATTCAACTTTTGTGTAGGTTATTGAATGAAGAATGGAAAAATATTCATTTTGTGTAAACAAGCTTTTGCCAATATATTATGAAAATGGTATATTGTTTGTTTAATTCAATTATTAAAGATCTCTGTTATCTTATGTCACTATATGTTAAAATAAAGTCACTATATTATTTATAAGGTCTTTGTTTGGTTCAAAAAGGTCACTTCATTACCATAGGTCACTATATGTTAAAATAAAGTCACTATATTATTTATAAGGTCTTTAGTTGGTTTAAAAGGTTACTTCATTACCATAGTTCACTATATGTTAAAATAAAGTCACTATATTATTTACAAGGTCTTTGTTTGGTAAAAAAAGGCCACTTCCTTTTCAATATTTTATAGTGTCAAAAGTAAGGACTATGTTTTAAATTAATGGTAATTATCATAGGTCACTATATGTTAAAATAAAGTCACTATTTTATTAATAAGGTTACTATTCTAAATATAAAGGTAACTAAGTCAAAATTATGGACTATGTTAACTAATGGTAATAAACTAACAATATAAGGGTATTATATAAAGATCACTATATTGTAAAAAAAGATTACTATTTCAAGAAGTATATATCTCAAAATTAAAGGTTACTATGTTAATCATAAAAGATACTATATTATAATAATCAGTATTTAAGATTTGAGCATTTCAATTCCTTGATTTGTTATCTGTTGATCACAGGAAACATTGAAACAGCTTTAACAACTAAAAGGAGCCTTCTGTGTAGGACAGCAAATTACCAATTAACAACAAGTTTAGAGAAAAAAGCTTTGTGTATAAGGTATTACAGTACTCATGTGCTTTATTCCTTGTTTCTTTGAAAAGAAATAAGTACAATTAAGATCAGATCAAAAGACATAATACTATAACAAAGGACACTATGTCAATCATACAAGACACTATATCATAAAAAAAGACACTATATCTTAAAAAAAAGAAACTATATAAGTATTTAAAAGATATAAAGTTTCCAAGAATGACAAATAAAAGGTAACCATGTAACAATTCAGGTTACTATGATAAAAAATATTGTTCTTAAGATAAAATTTGATGTCTTAAAACTATCAGAGTATATACTTATTATTAATATTTGGTGTTTTGGCACCAAATTCTCTATGTTTCCTCCTCTTCCCCTTTTTCATGTAGTCATAGCTTCCTGGAATCCTTTTATTTGATTGGTCTCCTTTAGTTTTTGCAAGAGCTGGGTCTAGTACTTGAACCACATTAGATGAAGTTGCTTCTGAATTCTCTTCTACACCTGTAGTGTTCTTAGAATGGTTGTCAGTTGACTTCATAGCAGAAATAATCTCATCAATTTTGCACTTGAATCTTTTGCATAGCTTTCTTCTAACACTTTCCTTGCTTTTTCAAACTTGTGGCTCTTAAGGATTAAACTATAATACTTCCTCACCATGTGTAGCCGCCAGGGTGTGAAGTTGTTTAATGTTCCCTTCTTCCTTTGCTCTGCCTCAATACTCTCCCAAACTTTATCCTTAGCCACTTTAGTCCACCTGATAGATATGTATTGCTCTGGGATTTTTTCAACAGAATGCATATGTAAGATTCTAAGGCTATGAAAGCATAACCAACCTGACTCTTCAAAATTCTTGCATGGACATTGAGTTGTTTGGTTAACAGGATCATAAGTTACTGCTTGAGTTGTGCCATCTCTGCCTTCAAGGTACACTTGGTAAACCATTTTGTCTCCATTAATGAATAGCAGTTTAGTTTGAGATCCAATGGCTAGGTTGAATTCTTCTTCAAAGTCCCTGAATAATGTATGTGTATAAACCTCAGCAGCATGTTTTAGTAAGGCAGACATTGGATAGCTTGAAGTAGGAATTGATTTTATGCCATTGAACTCATAAAAATCCTCATTCCTTCTCCAAGTCTTCACTATCTTCTGAAATATGTTGTAGAATTCTGTCAAACTTGTTTTCTTGTTTGCTTTGAATCCCACTGCATGATTTGTGCTCTCACTTCTCTGTGATGACAAGATTCCCGCGGATAAAAAGTCCTTACTTAGAGTTGTTGACCACTTGTGCTTTAGTGAGTATAACCTTTTGAACCAACTATTGTTTTTCAGTTTGTACTTTGTCATCATTGAATCCCAACATACTTCAAACTGAGCTTCATTAATACAACCACTCAAGCATTTCATGAAAGCAGCTTTGAATGTATCATCACTCTTCAAAACTCCAAATCTCGTTACAGCATTTTGAATCAAGTGCCATAGACATAATCTATGTCTAGTATTTGGAAATACCTGCACATTTTTATACAGTTACTATAGTTTCAAAATTGGTTATTGCATTTAAAATATAGGTAACTATATAATTTTAGTACAAACATATTTAGATGTAGTGGTATTCAAAAAGTTCCTTCAAAATTAGAAATTTCCTTTGGTATTGCTGCTGCCATGGCTACATCTTGGTCTGTAAACAGTGATACAGGACATTTACCACCCATTGCCTTTTTGAAGGTCTCAAATAACCACACAAATGAATCTGTGGTCTCATCACCAATAAAAGAACAAGCAAACATAGTGTTCTTCCAGTGGTTGTTTATTCCTACAAAGGGTGCACAGATGAGGATGTAACGATTAGTCCTATATGTGGTGTCAAATACAGTGACATCCCCATATATTTTATAATCTTCAAGCATCATGGAATCCCTCCAAAACAAGTTACAAACCCTTCCATCTGAATCCAACCTTACTCTAAAAAAGAAGTTAGGGTCCTCAGAATAAGCTTCATGTAGTTTATCACAAACTACTTGAGAATCTCCTACTTCAATGGCCTTTATTTTCAGTTTATAACAATAATTCATGTGGTCTTTCACTGTATGACCAATAGCATCTTCTCCACCAGCTTCATTTGACATGTAATTAAAGGATTCCATAGGTCTTAGTCTAGATTCTTGCATGGCCTCAATTACTTGCCCTTTAATTCCAGTCATTGCACGCTCTGAACGGTGGAAATGGTTCCATTGTGGTCTAGTGAGTGGATGATTGTGCACCAACACATGCTGAACTATCTCCAATTGCCCTTCCTCATTCAATTTTGCTATTATCAAAGCATTACAGTTTGTCCTTGTTAGTGGAACTCTCCTACTTTGTCTTGTTTTTTTTAACTGAAGAACTTTCCTCTGTCAAGAGTTCTTCTGCAATTTTTTCCTTCTTTTTACCAGAATTTCTTAATCCTGCTGCAGAACATACAAAGAACTTTTTGGTGATGATATCTTTAGTTCCAATTTTGCTTGTTTGTTTTGCTTTTCTAACACTAAAACCAACTGCAGCAGCATGTTGACAATACAATTCATGTATTTCCGCAAGTGTTGCTCGAGTTTCTCCTACTAACCAACCACTAATCTCATCGTTATTACTTGCACCTGTTATTTTAAAAAATAGATCACTATACTATCACTAAAGGCAACTATGTTACTTAAAAGTAGCTTTGCATGTCAGAAAAGCTTTAACAAGCATCATATAAGTACAATGTATTTATTTTTAAAAATAGATTACTATACTATTACTAAAGGCAACTATATTACTTAAAAGTTGCTTCATTATGCATAATCGCTTAATTTTCAATCAACATCAATTACACTTAATCGCTTAACTTTCACAATTACGCATTAATTCACAATTACGCATAATTCAATAAACATAAATTACGCATAATTACTTAATTTTCAATCAACATAAATATGCATAATCGCTTAATTCACAATTGCATAATATAATCGCCTAATTCAAATTATCAAATTAAAACCTAAATGTCTAATTTAATCTTCAAATCAAACAATTGCATAATCGTTTAATTCACATTATCAAATTCTAATATGAATTGCATATAAATATATCGTATAATACCTTGAGGTTTCATTAGAGATTGATTTTTCGTCATGAACTTCATTATCATCCTTAGCTTCAATAATAGCTTGTTCTTCATCTTCAACAGCTTCATTCAGATCGAAATTGATGACAATAATATCGAAGTTTTCTATAGTGTCCTGTATACTTCGATTTAGATGCATTTCAATTGATTGTATAGAAGAATTCTCCATGAAATTTGAAGAAATTGATTGATTAAGTAGAAAATAAAACCTAGAATTCAGTAGAATTAGAAGGAGAGAGATGAAAATTCGAGCTCTATTTTAGTTGTTAATGGCGTCGAACTGGAAGGAAATTAGTAGGTTGTGGCAGAAGAAATGCTTGTGAAACAAGTTAGTGGACTGGGTTTTGAAATAAGTTAGTAGGATGGGTTGTTCAGTGGCATGTGGCACGTGAGACCCTAAGGTTCACAATAAATTTATTGTGGACCAAGTCTACCCAAGAATTTTTGTCTTTTTTCTCTATAAATAGAGGTCATATCTCCCCTTTTCCAATCATCAACAAGCTTGATCATCAAATCCTTCTCTCTTTATCTCTTTTACACCAAAAATCATTCTCTTCTCTCTCTCCCATATTCTAAGCCTTAAACCTATATTCCTAATTACACCATGCTTCCCTTAAGCACTCCAAGGATTCTATACTAAACCCGAGGTTCTGTTTTAAACCAAGGCGTGAAAGGTATAAATAACTGAGGGTTTGAACCAAATCAAATCTATATTTATTTAATTTAATTTTCATTTGCTTTATATTTTTATTGAAATTACTAACAATTTATTCATGATGTAGCAATTTAAAGGAACGCGCAGAATGTGAGTAATTAATTAATTTAATTACTCTTATTTTATTTTAATATTGCTAGTATCATGATTAGGTTAATTTTATATTTGATTTGACTAACGCTATTATTGTTAAATTGCTTCCAATATTAATGTTTATTCTATTATTATTATGATCACCATATTGCATGTTTAAAGGGAATATGTAGTTGAAAATCACGCCTAATAAGATAATTTGGACAACCGGCTTAGGTTCCTTTTTAATCTTGTTGTTAATTTAAGTGATCACAAATATTTTGAATTATGTGTTGCATTAATATTCAACCAATTTAGCATAATAATAGTTTGGAGCAAATTTAATATTTTGTTTGCATGTTTTGAGTTCGCAGAAATCACTTTTCACTATAAGAATCGAGTAGAGGCCAATACGGGCGAATGTGACTCCATGACTCACTTCGTACCATCATCCCCGATCCTCCTTTCGTGGTTGCGAACCATGCGGAGTTAGTAATCTTATGGATTATGAAGGGGTGTAACCTTCACGGGTCAATCGTTGTTGCCTTCGTTGTCCCTTTATCGTGGTTGTCTTTTATGATCCGTGAACGGTTTACAAGTTCCTTAAAAACTTGTTGGCGGCTCCTTACTTTCCTTGTCCCTAATCGTATGTCAATTCCCACTTCCTATGAGTGCTAAGCATATTCACCACATGTTTTAACGTAGGCGCACTTCGAGCGACGCCTACAATAGGACTCACCTATTTGTTGCCAGTAGGGACAAACATAGGATCCAAAGTTGTTAGGACATTCTTTGAAATCTTCTCCAACTCTAGAACCTCCCCACTTGCACCACCTTAGGTCTCCAAATCTTCTTTATCTTCTTAGTATGACAATATTCCTCAGATTGCCCCAAACCTCCACATGCCACACACCATTTAAGCCTACAATCCCAAGCAACCGATTCGACAAACAGAACACCCTTTTCATCCAGAAATTCAATGTTATCACGGAAATCCTGCTTCAAATCCATTCCTACAAAATATCTCACATAAGCCACCCTATTTCTAGCCAATGTTGCTGCATCAGTTTTAATCGGTTTCCCAATTAATCTTATTATCTTCTCTAAACAAGCCTTCCCCCAATACTTCAACAGCAAATCATGAAGTTGAACCCAGATTGGTATTTTAGTCACATCATACACATTCAACTCCATCCCATCCTCCCATTGTTTCAAACATACATGTTTTTTTATCCATTAACAAATTCAGCTGAATTAAAGATTTATCTCGTGATTCAACATTCAAAAAACGAATTAGAAACACTCCTTTCTTCAATGGATTCACCTTATTATCAATGTTAGATTTTCTCTTAATTCTCCAACAAAACTTCTCAAAGGTCTTAATATAAGGATTAGCAGCAACAGTACGTAAAAGTAACTACCCCCAAATAAAATAATCCAATTCACCCTCAATATCATCCATAGTCAATTGCAAAACAGGTTTTTCAATACAATAAGACCTTCTAATATCAACAGAATCAATCAGATGAGAAGAAATAGGTACCTGAGGATTCAGAGCAGACCCTCTATTTTTCGAACCCAAAAACCCATTCTCAATAACCTTCAAAGCAGTCATCCATTCCAATAACTTTGATTTCTCCCTAGAATTGGTTATCATTTCCTCCAAAGATTGCTCAAGAGACAAGATACATCGCTCCAATTCATCCTGTACATCAAACTCCAATGGCGGAATTTGACCCACATTTCCTTGCGATTTCGTCTTCTGCCCAACCGCTTATTGACTAATAAATCAAATCCTCATCTTCCTTACTGAGTTCCGCCGCCATATCCTCCCCCTTCGAATTCTGCTTACCCTTTTACTTCCTTGCCATGGAAGAGAAAGCTAGAGAGAGAAAACTATACTCCACGGATTTGTTTTCCTTACTTTTGTTTTTCTTCTTGGATTAAAGATTATAATTTTTGGATATTTGGAAAGCATATGTTGAGACAAGACTATGGATGATTATGTTATTCCGAACTTAAAAGTCATAAATGATATGATGGTCGAACAATTTATATTAACACTATTAAAGTCAAAATGTTGCACTTATTTTAAAGAAAAAGAGGAAGTACTAATGTTTGATTTTATATTAAAATATTATGGCCAAAGTGACAAATTTAAATAATGCAAATTTTAAAGTTAACTAAAGTCTAAAACATTTTTTTTTAAGAATTGTTGACACATTATAATTTTTGTCTAAAAATAATAAGAAAACTAATTAGGCCTTAATTCTCATGATTTTTTTTTTTGTTTTAGTATTTGCATGTCAGACATTTAGGATTATTGGGGAGGTAAATGTATTCCTACCTTAAGCACCTTCATTTGGTAAGATTCGATCCTCTCGACCTATAAGTAAGAATCTTTTCAAGTGAACCAACACTTTGTTGATTGATTACGTATAACAAATGCCTAGCGTAAAATAACAAAAGAGGGAAAATAGCTTTTGGATTTAGGATTGAAGGGACGAAAATAAGAAATACTCCTTACTACTCCCTCTGTTTTTAAATACTTGCTCCATTTTTCCATGCGCGAAATTTTAGGAGAAATTGGAGAAAATAATAAAATATGCAGGTAGTGGGATTGGTAGAACAATTAAAAAATATAAAAGACAAAAGTAGTAGAGAGAATTGAAGAAGAGAGAATACATGTTGGGTCCACTAGGTAGGAGAAATTAATTAAATATTGTAAAAGCTTTCCTAAAAAAAATATGGAGCAAGTATTTAAAAACGACCGCAAATGAAAAATGGAGTAAGTATTTTAAAACGCATGGAGTACATAATTCTATAATAGTGCATACTATTCTGACATAGGTTGATAGGTAAAGAGGCAACAAAAAGTAGAGATGGCACAACAAATGATGTGGTTACAATTACAGCCAACGCCATCCTCGACTTGGGCTACTCCTCGTCTCACTCTTTCTAAACCCAATCAATGGAATTTGTGTCGCCTTCCGTCGCTTAAGACCTTCACAAAGCTTAGAGCATCCGTTGAAGATACTACGAATGACACTTCTTCCACTCCTCTTCTTCAGCTACATCACCTCAACCAAGTCAGCCCTTCACTAATCTCTCTTTTTTTTCCTTTTTTTTTTGGTAATATTTTGTTGATGAATAGCTGAGTTTTGTAATTTAAAAAATACGTAGTTGTTTTATTCTAATTTTGTGACTGAATTTGTATTCCTATTTTCCTACTGCAATTTCTTCTCGGGATTTTTTTTTTCATCATTTCCTTATTATTTTTTTTTTTTTAATTTTTTTTTTTTTTTTTTTTTTTTTTTTTTGTGGGTTTGCTTTGATTATTTTGGTTGGGGCAAGTAGTAGCTGTAGTTGTCGCAGAATTAATGCCTTAATAGTTGAATTTGGGTACGAAAGAATGGTAATTGTAATGAACTCTGGATATTTGTAGTCTTGCATAACATATTGGTTAGTATTTCAATTAGTATTATATTCTTCTGGATCATGTACTTCATACCAATTATGTTTAAGTTATTTTGTCTAAACCTTATGTTATTTTGTTTAAATCTTGTATTATTTTGCTAAAATAGTGTGTTATTTACCTATTTACTTCAACAACACATCAAAAAAAGTATGTAAGATTGAAATAACATGGACCGATTTAAAAATAACATATATACCTAGTATTATATATATATATATATATATATATATATATATATATATATATATATATATATAGGGAGAGACTCATATGAGAACACCTTTTATGTGAGAAAACTTCATGTGTGAGATGTTCTAAATGTTATAATATGTTAAGGTAGATTTTCTAAAAATAAATTAAACCCATCATTTTCAACCTTAACATTATCTCTCCTCACCAACACTATCCAATCTCTAGTTCCTCTGTCACCACCACCGCATGTTCCATAGCCTTTATGTCGTCACCTCCACCACCATCATTCTTTCTCTTCTCTCCGACGTCATGGCTAACACTCTCTTTCCTCTCCACGACGACCACCATCGCCACATGCTCAAGAATTTCATGTGTTTTGTATCAACTTTTGAACAATTGTAGTCAAGAATTCAAGTTGTGAAGCTTTATTAAAGGTAAACCAAACTTAATTAACAGTTTAATATGTGAAATCAAAATTTTTCATCCAAATCAATCAAATTAGGCAACTTATAGAGTTTGAAATTGCAAGGAATTTAATTAAATATAAGAAACTAAACAACAATTCATATGTTTTTGTTACCTTGGAAATCAAGAATAAATTGATTTCGAATCAATCGTTGTAAAAATCGAATTTTAATTCGTGTTCTATATTAACGAACTATGTTCTAAAAAATTTAAGTATGTTCTTAAAACTGTTACATATGTTCTAAAATATGTTGCATATGTTCTAAAAATATTGCATATATGTCTAGATTTGTTTTTTAGTTCAAGGTCTTAAAATTTGAGTATAATGTTCCAATTAAAATTATATTTTGAAAAGCTAAGTTTATTCTTCTAATAACTATTACATATGTTAAGAATAATAAGAATTTCATTCATATCAAAATAACATAAATTTTTGTTAGAACAAAGCTGGATGTGTATGTAGAAAGAAGGTAGGAAAACATATATATATATATATATATATATATATATATATATATATATATATATATATATATATATATATATAATGTGAAATAATAAGAATTTCATTCATATCAAAATAACATAAATTTTTGTTAGAACAAAGCTGGACGTGTATGTAGAAAGGAAGTAGGAAGATTTCTTATACTATTCTAATATGTACAAGAGTACTTTATAAGGGGTGAGAGATGCCTTCTACATTATTGTGATGCAATGAAGAGATAACTTTTGGCATTTCAACTACTCCAAATAACTCTAGTACATTCAAGTTTATTTACTAATTTCTTCACTAATTGCTGAACACCAAAAATATCATTTACTATCAATTTTATAGAATTGAATTACAATGAAATAATCGATGTTGAATAAAAAAAAAAATAATATGCAAGTATTAAATAACATGTACTTATTTTAAAATATAACACACACACACATATATATATATATAAGGAGGATTTTTCTTATGTGAAAACACTTTTTATGCTCTTAATTTTTACTCGTATGTTCTAAATTTTAAATCCGGTGTTCTAAACTTTTTCCCAGGTGTTTTAAATTGAATTTGATGTTCTAAATTAGTACTCACATGTTCAAAACCATAAATTATTTAAGTTAGATGATATAAATTTCGAATGACTTATTTCGAAATTTTAACTTATATGTTCTAAATTTTAAAATGTGCGTGTGTTACAAGGTTTTTAGTTATCAATATATACCTATACTAAAGGCGAAACCAGAAATAACACTTGTCATAACCTGGTTAAAATTTTTCCCCCCAAAAGATGTTTTTTTTTTCCAAAGCTTCTAATAGAAGTATTTAATTTAATACTTACTTTACAATAATATTTCTTTTCTATCTGGCAAGTATATTCATTTTACGCATTCAACAAAGATTTATTTATTTATTTATTTTATGACGGGAACAAAGTCATAATATACAATAATGTAATCTTATCTATAACTTTGTAATGTAATCCATAGTTATTTTTATTAGTCGTGCATGCATTTCTTCCTTCGTTTTCTTTAATGATTTAAAAAATCGTAATTATAGAACTTTCATCCTATTTTGCAATTTGATATTATTTTTTAATAGTAAAATAATTGTATTAATGTATTAAACTAATGATAAATATTGAAATTACCGTGCATGACACGGGATCTAACCTAGTATAAAATATATTGTATTACACTAAGAATAAATATTGAAATTACCGTGCATGGCACGGGATCTAACTTAGTATGTTCTAAATTCGAAAGCATATGTTCCAATTTTTACTCACATGTTCTATATTTTACTTATATGTTCAATATTTTTACTCCCATTTTATACCAAGTGTTTTAAATTTTTTATTCACATGATCTAAATTTTAAATCAGATGTTCTAAATTTTAATCATATGTTCAACATTTCATGAAGCAATTTTTTTAAAATTTTTACTCACATGTTCTAATTCTTAAATAAGATCTTCATAATTATTGCTCACACACATGTTCAAAATTATTAGTCACATGTTCTAAATTTAAATTTGAGTCACATGTTCTAAATTTTTACTCGTATTTCTAAATTATACTCAATGGCCATTATTCTATGTAATTAAGAGTAGTTTTAGAATTAAAACACGGACATTGGTCAAGACCCAAGAGTTCCTCCTCTCTCCTTCTGCCTACATATTTTCTTCGTTCTTTTTTAGCTGCAACAATTTGAGTAGTTTTAGTGAAACTGTTGCGAGTAAAAGTTAAAGGAGGAATTATTATAGAGATTGTACAAAAATAACGACTAATATGGTGAAATGTTGAATACTGCATTATGCCATGATGTAACGATGACAAATTCATAATTCTGGACAAAATTACAGGTATATAGGATATATTAGGGGGAAAAGAGTGCTGTTAGTCACTTCCTACTCATGATTGATATAAATCCTAAATATTTTAATTTTAGTCCGTTTAATTTTGTGAAAATGTCACCGAATAAATTATACTCGTTTAAGGTGTTTAATAAAATGTTGAAATTCGATTTAGGAAGTAGAAGAAAGTATTAAAGTGTTGAAGAATGCTGCAAAAACAAGAAAGGTTGAAAAAAACAAAGTTTTAACAGCTCTTTCGACGATTGAGAAGGCAAAACTCGACCCTTTGAAATTTCTTGAGACACTTGGAGGATCTAAATCACCCGGGAAGACCTGGATGCTCATTTTTACTGCTGAGGTTTGCAGTACGCTCATTTTATTTTTAATTTAATGTTTAATCTACTCAACACTACATTTTTTCTGTAATTGCATTACAGATGATTAGGTGCTGACTATGAGCTAGTTACAGAATTTTGAAAATTGTTATGTAGAAAAAACTCAAGGGTGGGCGATATTTCCCTCTAACTGCTGTCCAGAGATTTGACGCTGAGGTATGCATTGCGTGTTTGACTGTTATCTTCCTTTCTTGTTATCCTCCATAAAACGATGAGATTGAGAGTAATATATTAGTTTAACAAGCTGGATGTGTGGATTGCTGGATCCATAATTTTTCTGCTTCCATTATGGAAAGAAAGCACGTTCTGATTTTATACTTTGTTGGACCTCAAACTTATCACTCTGACTTAAGCTTGCATATGAACAGGCAAAGAGGATTGAAAATGGTGTGTATCTCGGGCCACTAGGGAGTTTGAGCTTTGAAGGAAGATTTTCATGGAAGAATAGAATACTGGCTTTCATTTTTGAGTGCATTCGTATAAAAATTGGACCACTCAGTCCTTTACAAGTAAGCCTAGGAGATCAAGACAACAGGGAGCCAAACAATAAAGATCCCTTCTTCATATGGTTTTATGTTGATGAGGAGATAGCAGTGGCCCGTGGCAGAAGTGGTGGAACAGCATTTTGGTGTCGTTGTCGCCGAGTTACTAGTACTTGACTCTCCTGGAAGCATGCACCAACACTTTTGGAAATTTGGTGATTTATATTGTTGACATTATAAATCAAATTATTTTAAGTTATAAAGGCTTATTGTACAGCTAATATGCAACTTAGTGTATGTATGTTTGCATAGTGCAGATTATATATTTACAAAGAGCTTTTTGTTACAATGTTGTATGTTCTTGAGTATACATTCATGATACATAAGTCTAATGTCTTTCCTTTCTTTCTGTGAATTTGTTCTCTGAAATTCTACAAAGAGTTAATCCTCCAGAGTGACATCTGACTTCTCAAACCAGCTTTGGCAAATCAGGTAACTTAGGCAGCCGAATCATTATCATCGATGCTGCCATTATCCTCAGCATTTAGAGATGTGTAAAGGGTACTCCTAATGCAGCCTCCCGCATTCTTTATTTTTGTACCCCTTGTAAACACATAACAATAGCAAACTTGCTCCTAGAAAAGCTAAACTATCTTAGGCCACTATGACTGCCAGTCTTTCATGATTCTCTATCAAGGCTAATTTTTAAACCCACCAACAACCATGTCACTCCATGGAAGAAAAACATAATAAGCCAATGAATAGGAAAAATTGAATGATCATTCATCAACTTCTGTTCCAAATTCCAAATGCCAAATATTGTCATGATTTCTCTCAACTAGAAATAGGACTATGAAAGATCTAATTATCTGTAAGCCTCTACCAAGTGTCGACTATGGACATGTTTTGTCGTAATTTAACTTGAAAATAAGGGTGGGAAAAATACACTTTAATAATCCCAACTATCTGTAATTTACTTTTAATAATCTCAACTAGGGTTTATTATTTAATAACCCCAACTATGCTATGTGTTTGCCTGGAGTAGTCCTAATGACCTGTAACCTGCTGAAGGTGTAAATTTTTTATTTTTATTTTTAAAAGCCACGTGTCAATACTTGATTAGTGCAATATTTTTTTTTTTTTAAAAAAAGCAAGAAAAACAAAAACGATTTCCCAGCCACCCCTATCCCCGTGAAACCAACGAGAAAGGAGGTGGCTATATTGGGGTCGGGGTTGGGTTTTCGGTGTAGATAGATAGTTTTTCGGCGTGGCTAAGGGTTTTTCGGGGTCGAGGCAGGGATTTCGGGATGGTTATTATAGGGTTTTCCGGCGCATCAGACAATGGAGGAAGCGAGATGCTGAAAGGTCGGGAATGGGGGGTTTCAGGGGTAAGGGGAGACGGTCGGAGGACTGAGTCTGGGCTTCACAGTGGCGGAAAAGGAATGGGTGGTGGCTACAGGTTTTTTTTTTGGTTTTTTTCATTATTTTTTCTTTCTCTCAAAAAAAAAAAAAGAATTTCCTTTTTTTTTTTAATTTTTTTTCTAATTTTAGACTAATCAGGTGGTGACACGTGGATTGATTACCTGCTACAACAAGTCATTGACTTGATGTTGACCGGTTGGGACTACTCTAGGCAAACACATAACATAGTTGGGATTATTAGATAATAAACCTTAGTTGGAATTATTAAAGTGTATTTTTCCAATAAGGGTGTCACTTGATAGTAATATTTGCAAATATTCGTATATATATTTTAAAATAGATCAAATATCATCACATTTTGATTTTTTTTTTCAGACAAAGGCCAAAGCCATAGATATAAATTAACATAGTTGGGATTATTAGATAATAAACCTTAGTTGAAATTATTAAAGTGTATTTTTCCAATAAGGGTGTCACTTGATATTAATATTTGCAAATATTCGTATATATATTTTAAAATAGATCAAATATCATCACATTTTGATGTTTTTTTTTCAGACAAAGGCCAAAGCCATAGATATAAATTACCTAATGTATGACATTGCACGCTACTATCTTAATTCATTATGTGCCATTGAGGTCATAAGAGCCATTTATTTTTTTTTTTTTTTTTTTTTGAGAAAATAAGAGCCATTTATTTTATATATTAAGTAATAATACAAAATTAGATATGCTAGTCTAGATATTGGCTGACATAGTTTTTTAAGTTTTCAACAAAAGTTACACCTCTAAGATGAATTATTAATGTAGAAGTAAGCACAATTGTACAATAATGGAGCATGATTCATGTGTTAAATTAGTTACATGAGCTGCCGAAAATCGTTTTTTTTAGAGTATTAGTCATATACTCATGTATAGTCACGTCTCAATACATGTACGAGAAACACTTGTGTATAATCTCACAAAAACCTGATACTATCTAACAATTTTTCTTACAAATTCAATGCAATTCAAATACAATTGTAACGTGCAAATACAACTATACAAGTTGACAGTGATTCTTAATTGCTTGTATTATAATTACATAATACAAATTGTAGAAATAGTCTCTCAAACTTTAAATATATAACAGTTAGCACAAACAGATACGAAATATGCAGGAGGGAAAATCCTTTAAGCTGATATAACTCATATAAGCATGACCAGATAGTCAAAAAAGCATATCTGAAATGTTTAAAGCTATACCTGACGCAGAAAGCAGGGGAAAGGGAAAAAAATACCGATGCATCGAAATTTCATCAGCCGAGCTTGTTATTTTCATCGGTACCACTTGTAATCTACCGAGCTGCATTTCTGCAGCATGTACAAGTCTAAAAAATTGTTAATTTTGATTTCTGTAACAATGACAAACAAGGACAAAATAATTGTGACTTACGAAGTATATTTAGTAAGGCGTGGCTGCTATAATTCAATGAGTTTGTTCTGCAGATTGGAAATGAGACCAATATTCCTTCACAAGTTGGCCAAATAGTGAATCTTCCTTCTTCATTAGCTCCATAGGATTGTCATATTCAACCAATTTTCCTGCAACGACATAACATTATGTTCTGTCAGAACACCTTCAGTTCCTTAGGACTTGAATAATTAATTAATCTAGACGAAGCTCTTGCTTCTAGTCCATTAGAAGTGGCCACATAAAAAAAAAAATAATAAAAAAATAAAAAAATAAAAACTAGAAAAGTTGAAAGAAAAATCACCATCACTAATGGCAAGGACTTTTGCGCAATCCATCACGGTTGGTATCCTGTGGGCTACTGTGATCACAGTACAATCTGCAAATTCCGATCGTATGGTTCTTTGCAGAACCATGTCGGTTGCATTATCTATTGATGCAGTTGCTTCATCAAGCACCAATACCCTGCTTCTTCTCAATAAAGCACGTCCTAGACAAAATAGTTGTCGCTGTCCCATGCTCCAATTTGATCCATCCTCCATAACTGACATAAAAAATGATAATAAAAAATAAATATAAGTATAATAGTGTTATAAACCGACCTAGAAGAGAGGCACTACAAGTCGTCTGATACTCATACTTTTCTGTTAGTATAAATAAGTGAGAGTAGGCATAGTGAAAAGGAATCCAGAAAATTTAAGTTGTTATTTTGTTAGCTTTGGTAGAGGATCAAGTCTCTCACAATACTTGACAATTATCTTTTATTTTCTGTACATTCAGCTTTATTAATCAAAATCACCAATTTCATCTCTTTAGAATCACTTGTATTATGCTGGTCATATAATGTCAGAGAATCATTACTTCCTCCACAAATAAAATGGAAAGTAACCAAGCCTTTAGTAATGAGCTGAGAATTTTTACCCGCGGAATCTAGGCCCTGCTCTTTATCTTGGACAACCTCTTTAAGCTGACATTTCCCTAGAACCTTTTCAAACAAGAAAAAAAAAAAAGATAAGAAAAAAAGAAAAGAGGGTGAGAACAATATAAAGTTGTCAGCATTGCACAAAATATTGCACTGACATAGTGACATAAATTAGATTACAGAAGAAAGGTGAAGTATACCTCCCAGAGCTTTACATCATTATGCTGACACAATGGATCCAAATTGAATCTTACAGTTCCATTAAAGAGAGTAGGATCTTGTGGAATAATCCCAAAACGTGACCGTAGATCATGAAGTCCTATCGAGCATATATTGATACCATCCACTATTATCTTCCCTGCCGCTGGTTCCACCAACCGAAATAAAGCCCCTACTAGAGTAGTTTTTCCACTGCCAGTCCTACCCACAATACCGATTTTGTTGCCCCCTTTGAATGTGCAACTGATGCCATTAAGAACCAGTGGTGTATCTGGTCTATATCTTATCTACAGGAAATCAATATCCTTTAGTGTAAAATTCTATCTAGTATTTGTATAAAATAAATCCCGATGAGCTAAAAGTTACCTGTAGATTGCATATCTCCACTTTACCAACTGAAGGCCAGTTTTCTGGAGGGCGGCAGTCTTCAATGACTTTTGGAGCTTCACTGGGAATATGCATGTATTGATCAAGCCTCTCCACACAAATGATATTGTTGGCTAATGTGCATTGATTTTGGATTGAATTAACCAGAAACACATTTAACGAAAGACCATATGATAGGGCCATTCCAATAAAACCTGCATTATTTATAATTTTAGAATGATCCGCAAAATATTTTACAGCAAGAAATCAATATTGATCCCCCTTATCTCCTAATATATAAGAGGTTCAAAACAATATACTCAATACCACTCACCAGAGCTAAAAGTTCCAGTGGGGAGAAAAACCATGCACAAAGCTGCAGCTGCAAGAACAGTGGCACTGAGGGTCTCAAGCCTCTGAATCAGCCATTCACTAGCTGTAAAATTGTGGAAGAATGGACTTGCATTCATATCAATTATATCAAGACTCTTGGCAAAGAACCGTTCTTCCTCCTCAAAAGCTCTTATTGTTGTGGCTCCAGCTATTGATTCAGCTAAATGGTTGGCAATTAAAGACTTTGTTGTGCCATTCATTCTCATCAACTCTTTCGCTGTCGCAAAATAGTACCTCTGTTGACAAGTCTTATAGCTCATTAGGTCTTGAGGGAAAAATTAAGGAAAAATAACTTGTAAATTTGCCAATAATTATCTTGTTTTAGCCAAGGTGGAGAAGAAGTCCTATCAAAATATGAGTCCATGTTAAGCAATTTAGCCTATAGATTTTATATAAAATACATGACAAATATTTATGAACTCATATGCAGGATGGAGTTGGTTGACCATAAGCTTGTTAAACGTTCAAAACCTAATTAAATTTAATTCACCAATTTGTTTACCTGCAATCGTATGGCCAAATAAATCATTGGTATGCAGACGAACAAAACTTGCCAAGTAATAACTGCCAGCACTCCTAGATTAGCATACGCAATTATTGTAGTTTCTATCGAAATGAGAAGGCTGAAAGGAACATCAAGATCAACAATCCCCAAATCAGAAGAGACCTGCAGGGGTGTAAACAAGGAAAAAACATCCCTTAACATTAGTACACACACCAGTATAAACTACAGTTATGAAGCTTATAACAACTCTATGCTCACCCGACTTAGTATCCTTCCAAGAGGTGTGGAGTCATAAAAAGACATTGGAGCACAGAAGAGAGAATTCATTAACCGAGAAAATAAGGATTTAGATGCATTTAAGCCCATTGCAACAACAGCAAGACATCTGAAGAGTAAAAATAATGTCGAGGAAGCTCCGATGACAAGGTAAACCACAATCAACTTATATGTGCTGACATGAGGATTATCAACACTAGAGGCCATCCAAGTGTTCTGAAGTATCTGGCCTGTAACAAAGATAAGGTGGCAAATAATACCTATCGAGAGGTACATGTAGCCTTTGTTCTGATTTAGGTAGAGTAAGTATGGCTTAAGACCAGTGTCACCCACTTCTCTTTCTTCTCGTTTAATCAACTGATCATCTTCTGACACTTCATATTGCTTCTCTACAATAGTTCTCTTGATCTCCTTTGCAGAACTATTGTGTCTTCCAGATGCTCCACCGTCAGGTATTTTTTCAGTTCCAGCAGTCTCTTTGTGTGCATTTACAAGGTCCAAAAATTCTGGACTTGAAGCTAACAACTCATGGTAAGACCCTGACTGAAGAATTTCCCCATCTGACATGAGCTACAATTAAGGAAAATATTTATCAAGTTATAATTAGGTTTGTATGAAATGACGGAGCATATAAATACAAACATTTAAGAACGTCAGGAGAGTGATGGCTAACTCACCAAACAACAATGAAATGCCGGAAGAAAATCAATTTGATGTGTCACAAGTAAGACAGTCTTTCCAGAAAGAGATTCCATAATATATTCCTGCGACAATTTCAAATATCAATGTTTCTATAGTTATAAATACAGTAACATAGGAATGCACAGAAAGGATCAAAGAGTTACACTAAAGAGGCTAGTTGCAGTATGTGCATCAACAGCACTGAATGGATCATCTAAAAGATATATGTCAGCATCTTGGTATAATGCACGAGCAAGTTGTATTCGTTGCTTCTGACCACCACTTAGATTAACTCCTCTTTCTCCTATTTCTGTCATATCACCGAAAGGAAGAAGGTCAAGATCCTTAATCAAGGAACACCTCCAAAGTGTTTCTTGGTACCTTAGCTCATTCATGGATGACCCAAAAAGAATATTTTCACGTATGGTCCCTGTTTGGATCCAAGCTCTCTGGGAAACATAAGCAATCTTTCCATAAACTGCAGCCTGTATGACAACACTATTTTAAAAACCTCTGAATTCAGATATTCCTTAATCTATTTGCACGAGAAATATCAAACCTTTTAGATGTAATATTACAGCAGTCTTCTAAATAAGTAAATACCACTGATTAGTTAAGAATTCACAAATGCCTACAAATACGGGCTTTTAAATAATCAACTTAAACAATTAAATGCACAATAATGTAAGACGTATGAGAAATGCCTGAGGAAGCTTACAGTTCCCTCTATATATGGTACTTCTCCAAGAATTGCTGCTAGTAAAGTTGATTTGCCTGAGCCAACTTCTCCACATATTGCAACCTTTTCACCAGGTCGAACAACTATGTTTATATTCCTTAATGTTGATTTTGATGAATTTGTTTCCCAGTAAAGATTTGCGGACCTCATCTTAATGGCATGATCTAAGTTCTCCATTCTGCTCTTCCTTTTGACATTCTGAGTCAGAAGCTCTGGCTCCAGAAGAAACTCCACGATACGTGTAAATGCAACCTTTGCTTGAATCACCGCACTGATCACATCAGGGATAGATCTAATAGGTTCTTGAACGAGACGCAATGTTTCTACAAAAGTGAAAACATTGCTAGCATGCAAAGGAATTTCGAGAAAATAACAAGCCCCAAATGTAACAGCAGAGACCAAAATGGGAGATGACCAAAATAGAAAACCATTGTATGACCTACGCATTTGTACACCTGATAACCATTTAACTTCCACTTTCCTCAAGCCCTCAATTACATTTTTGAAGTGCGTCTCCCATGCATACAGTTTAAGCACCTTCATGTTCACAAGAGCTTCGGAGTAAGCCTTCAGTCTAGCATCCTGTGCGTAAACCTGGGCACGGGCCGGGTTGGCCCGCGTGCCGCCCGGCACGGCCCGAATTCAAGCACGGCACGACACGAAGTTCAACTCCCGTACCACGGGCCGTGCCACGAACAGGGTTGAGAATTCCCAGGCACGAGCACGGGCATGGCCCGCCGTGCTGGCCCGCAGGCACGGCCCGCGGGCCAACGGTAATGTTACCGTTTATTCTAGCTCCTTAATAAGCCAAAAAAACGGCTAGTTTTTTGCCAATTTTCTCCCCAAAAATTCTATAAATACTCACCTCCATTTCATTCCCAAATCACAAAATCACAATCTCTTCTTCTTATCTCTTATATTCTCTAAATCTCTAATAATCCTTATTTTCTTAAATTCTCTAATTATTCTCTTAAATTCTCTAATTATTTTCCTAATATCGGAAAAAATTAAAAAGTTCGTAATCGTAATTAGTGGAGCGTTGAAGCACGGTTGTAAGATCTAAACTAATCTTAAATTTATTATTGTTTTATTGTTATTATTAGAATAATCTTGTTTAATTATTATTGTTGTTAATTGTTATTGTTGTTGTTATAATTGTTGTTATTAATTATTATTATTGTTACAATTGTTGTTATTATTTTTTTTTTTTGTTATTGTTATTGTTATAGTTGTTGTTATTAATTAATATTATTCATATTTTTATTGTTAAAATTGTTGTTATTAATTATTATTATTATAGTTAACCACTTTTTATTAAAAAATTAATTGTTAATTATGGCATCGAACAACCCATCATCTAGGTCTAGGGGGAAAGGCCGACTTATCCGTAGTAGTAGTTCTAGGGAACCACCAAATACAACGAGCCCCCAAATTACGAGTCAAACCTGGGCACGGGCCGGGTTGGCCCGCGTGCCGCCTGGCACGGCCCGCCGTTCGGCGCAGTCCGACACGGCCCGAATTCAAGCACGGCACGGCACGAAGCTCAACTCCCGTGCCACGGACAGGGTTGAGAATTCCCAAGCACGGCCCGGCACGAGCACGGGCATGGCCCGCCGTGCTGGCCCGTCGTGCCGGCCCGCAGGCACGGCCCGCGGGCCAGCGGTAATGTTACCGTTTATTCTAACTCCTTAATAAGCCAAAAAAACGGCTAGTTTTTTGCCAATTTTCTCCCCAAAAATTCTATAAATACTCACCTCCATTTCATTCCCAAATCACAAAATCACAATCTCTTCTTCTTATCTCTTATATTCTTTAAATCTCTAATAATCCTTATTTTCTTAAATTCTCTAATTATTCTCTTAAATTCTCTAATTATTTTCCTAATATCGGAAAAAATTAAAAAGTTCGTAATCGTAATTAGTGGAGCGTTGAAGCACGGTTGTAAGATCTAAACTAATCTTAAATTTATTATTGTTTTATTGTTATTATTAGAATAATCTTGTTTAATTATTATTGTTGTTAATTGTTATTGTTGTTGTTATAATTGTTGTTATTAATTATTATTATTGTTACAATTGTTGTTATTATTTATTTTTGTTGTTATTGTTATTGTTATAGTTGTTGTTATTAATTAATATTATTGATATTTTTATTGTTAAAATTGTTGTTATTAATTATTATTATTATAGTTAACCACTTTTTATTAAAAAATTAATTGTTAATTATGGCATCGAACAACCCATCATCTAGGTCTTGGGGGAAAGGCCGACTTATCCGTAGTAGTAGTTCTAGGGAACCACCAAATACAACGAGCCCCCAAATTACGAGTCAAACCAATGACCCCATTTACTTCCCCCCGGGCTATGAGCCATATAATACGTCGGGATTTCCAGCACCACCACTAAACCAATTTCCACTACCACCATACCAATTTCCACCTAATTATATCGGTGATCAACAAAACTATTGTTCTAGCCAAGGTAGCCAAGAAAGTACCCGAATTCCCTCCGGTTCTACCCCTTCTACTGCCACTCCCACTAGTCCCACTACTAACCATCACACACATCATGAATGGTTAACTGAAACTGAGATGCTACTTTTGAAAAACCGAAGGAGTGAGGTATGGCGTTATTTTGTGCTAAGTAAAGATGGTGAACAATGGGCAAAATGTAAAACATGTAATAGTGTATTCACGGCAGTTACCAAAAACGGGACGGGACACTTATCTAGACACATGAAAGCTTGTGCAAAACCAGCTAGTGATCCAACCCAGCCCAAAATTTCCCAATTCCATCCATACGGCTTTACATACAACTATGAGAGGGATATGGATGAACTAGGAAAAATGATAGTACACGCCGAACAACCTTTTCTTTTCTCGGAAAGTGACGCATTCAACACCTACATTAACAAAGCACTACAACCCCAACATAAAAGAATCTCTAGGAAAACCGTTCGTTCCGCCGCAATGAAAAATTTCCTAGAGTACAAAGTCCGGTTACAAGCCGAATTAAGTAACCTTAACTGTAGAGTATCTTTAACAGCCGATTCTTGGGATAGTGGTTATAAATATCACTATTTATGTGTGACTTGCCATTGGGTAGATGATCAATGGATGTTACAAAAAAGAATAATACATTTCAAAATGCTGGAATACCCACACACCGGCATTAACATTGCTCACCATTTAATGCAAGCAATAGACGAATACAACCTTCGAGATAAAATGATGTCTATGACTTTTGATAATGCAACCTCTATGACATACACAGCTAATCTTATCAAACAAAACTTAACCGATGTACTATTAGACGGTGAAGCTCTTCATACTAGATGTGTTTGCCATGTACTTAACTTATGTGTACATGATGGAGTTTCGGGCAATTGGCCCATACTACAGCAAAATCAGAGATGCTATTATTTCTATTAATAGCTCTAACATGAGATACCAAGAATGGAAGAGTTTTCTAAAACAACAAAAGATAAGGGTAATAAAAATTAGAACCGATTGCCCAACTAGGTGGAATTCCACCTATGACATGTTAACAAAGGCAATTGAGTACAAGGGCTCGTTAACATTATTTTACAACCAAAAATTTCCACAAAATGCTTTGTATGATGATGATTGGAATAATTGTGAAAGATATATGCAATTTTTACAGTTATTATATAACATGACGTATTGTTTTTCTACTGTTTACAATCCTTGTGCTCAAAACTTTCTTTCTAATGCATGCTTACTCGCCCAACTTTTCGCTGATCATCGCCATCAAAGTGATTATGATCAGTATCTTCCAGCAATGGAAAAAAAAGTGGCGTAAATATTATAGTGAGATTCCTTTGATTTATATTTTTGCTTCCATATTAGATCCTAGGCAAAAGTATGAAAACGCATTTATGTTAGTTGACATTTACTTTCAATGCATGTTTCTTGACGATGATGTAGAAAACTATAAGACTAATGTGAAGGATCAGTTTTTTGCTTTATATAGAGTCTATGAAGCCAAATATGGCACCGTTCCTCGCTCAGGGCCTTCCCAACCATCCAAAAACGTAAGTAAGAAGGCCAAACATTTATTTTCACAAGCTACTAACTTGATTTCAAGGTTTTCAGGTGATTCATCAATCAGGAGAACGCAAAGCGACGTCTCGGAGTTGCAGATGTACCTGAGTTACGACTTCACCAAAGGCATGGAGGACGATGAGATAAACAGCCTCGACCTCCTTGCATGGTGGAAACAACAAAGCTCGAAGCATCCAACTTTGGCGGCAATGGCACGAGACATTCTTGCTATCCAAGTTTCCTCCGTCGCCTCCGAACGAGCTTTCGGCGCATCCGGAAGGGTTTTAGACGATAGAAGAACAAGTCTAAAACCCGAAACACTAGAAATGTGCGTGTGTTTCAAAGATTGGTTGGATGCGGAAAATCGCTCACAAGACCGTTCTTACAGCCACAACGACAACGAAGAAGGAACCTCCGCTTCCGGTTCGGGTTCGGCTAGTTCCCAATCTATGCAACTAGTCGATGACCTTGAAGGCGAAGGCGAAGACGAAGACGAAGACGAAGACGAGCAAGAAGAAGGAGAAGAAGAATAGACAATTATTGTATATTGTACGATTTTAAAAATATCAATTTTATCATTTTCCAATTTTTGTTTAATACCATCATTGTATGATTTTTATCATTGTTATCATTGTACAATTTTCTCAACTCAAGTAATAATAATATAAAGTACGCATTATTCACATCCAAAGTCCAATTTGCCTTTTTTCCCCGTTTTGTTACAATTTGTAAATTCATATTAAAAAAAATAAAATTATACCAATTACTAATAAATCATAAACATTAAATTTTAAAGTAATAGTATAAAGTAAATATATAAATATAAATATTGAATATACAAATTATAAAACATAAATATTCAACTTATAATTATAAAATTCATAACTTAATAACTTATAACTTATAAGTTATAAACTTATAAGTTATAACCTTATAAAACTTATAATTATAATTTTATAACTTATATACATTATAAACTTATTAATTTATAATGTTGTCATATAAAAAAAAAAAAAAAAAAAAATTATTTGAAAACTGCACCAGCCCGCTGCCAGCCCGCAGGCCGGCACGTGGCCGGCACGGCACGAGCCCGCCAGGCACGAGGGTCGTGCCGTGCCGTGGGCTGGCCTGTGAAAATGGCCGGCACGGCACGACACGAAATCCTGGGCCCGCCGGCACGACGGGCACGGCACGAACCAGCCCGTGGCCCGCCAGGCCCGGCCCGCGGCGGCCCGGCCCGGCACGGTGCCCAGGTAGTGCGACCATGAGATTACTTTGCAATTTATGTTGTAACTTTGCAAGGGGGTGATTACAAAGAACTGTTAAAATTATTATGGCTAGTGCTGCAAGTGTTGCAAGTCCCACCGAATGTACTAGAATAAATAATGCAATGCGAAGCTGAAGGCTTGTAGTCCAAATCTGGTGAGCCCAGAAAGGAAACTCGCCAATCCTATAGGAATCAACAGTAATATGATTCATTATCTCACCAGCAGAGTGCATCATCCTCACAGCATTTGATAATCGTAGCTGCTTCTTGTAAATCGTGGCAGTAAGCAAAGACCTCACTTTCAGGCCAATCAATCTGCATCGGAAGTACCACTGTCTCTGTGACAGAGATTCTAAGGTCTTTGACAAGAAGAGTGCAAGCGCCAAAAGATAGCCTTTGTATTTGAAAGCCTCTTTGCCCTCTGCAACCTCAATGAAAGCATTCAGCAAAAGAGGACCAGTTGACAGGGTAAGTATCTTCAAAGCAGCACAGAACCCAGAAAGCAGTATATCATTCCAATGGCACGCGACAATAGTCCACAACATTGAGGATTGTAAAAAAGGTTCATCTTGTTTCTGTTTATTTAATTGGTTCTCGAACTGCAAGTAACAAAACTCAGCTCTATCTACATCCCTTAGTTTGGGGATATCCTCATCCTTAATTGTCTTCAACTTACCCAATTTCATCAAAGGATTCAACCACCAAAATGTCAACCTACTAAATAACCCAGCTTCAGCAAATGGAGAGACTTGGACTGCTGAATCAAATTTACAGCTACCATTAGCCTTACCATTCAGTAAAGTGTAAAGGGTACTTTCATTGTCCTCTCCATCTTCTTCATTTATGAACCCCTTGTAAGTACATAATAACAGTAAAGTTGCACCTAGGAAAGACAGTATATCCAAGGTCACTTTGACTGTTGTTTGATTGTTAACTATGGCAGCAAAAAGAGATAAGAAGCAGAACATCCCAGCAGAGAGAAATGCAAAAATGGAGAAGATTCGCAATGGGGCTCTTGAGAAGTACTCTACTTTAAGGCTAGTTGTTAGTCCCACCAATGCCCAAGTAAACCCTTGGAAAAAATATAAGACCCACCAATGAATTGGTGAAGCAGAATGATCATTTCTCAACTTCATCACCAAAATCCAAGTTCCTAAGCCTATGTAAAGTAGTCCCAAACAGCCATTAAGAATAACTGATGCTATCTGCAAGGTTGAAAAGCTTCTATAACGAGTCCATATCCCGACTCTCTTGGAATTAATTTTACAAATCATGTTAACTAAGAGCCCTGAAAGAAGCAGTATATCAAAGAAAATGATAAAGGCATGATTGACACATGAGGAAGGATGGGTCACAAACTCAAATTGCACTCGAGTGCAAAGTTCTGTATCGATAATCAAACAATCAGACTGTCCACAATATAAATTCCAGAGACGCTCCATCAGTATTATACAACTTTTATTTCTCTATAGAATCTCTGCATTAACATACAGACACAATCATCAGATAAAACTCATTTCTGATCAACCAAGAAATATTCAATAGTATACAGAAAATCTGCAAAAATATTCTGGTATGACATGCAAACAAATACTGCAATTTAGATGTGCATCATGCTGCCTAAAGCACGAACAATTTAAAGTAAAAGAATATAAATATAGTTATGAGAGCATGTTTGATCTTTATTCATAAACAAATATGTTCATATATAGTTCAAAATAAAAGAACATATCATAATAATGTGAAAATAAAGCTAAAATTATGATGAAAGGATATATGCAACCTAAAGCACGAACAATTTAAAGTAAAAGAATATAAATATAGTTATGAGAGCATGTTTGATCTTTATTCATGAACAAATATGTCATATATAGTTCAAAATAAAAGAACATATCATAATAATGAGAAAATAAAGCTAAAATTATGATGAAAGGACATATGCAACCTAAAGCACGAACAATTTAAAGTAAAAGAATATAAATATAGTTATGAGAGCACGTTTGATCTTTATTCATGAACAAATATGTCATATATAGTTCAAAATAAAAGAACATATCATAATAATGAGAAAATATAGCTAAAATTATGATGAAAGGACATATGCGTGTATAATGAAAAAAACACTAACTAGGCACGTTACGAACATTGTGTTCCCGGGTGCATTATCTAACAATTGTCAAAATACATAAAAAGGAGAAGAAAGTAACATTACTAACAGCAAGTCAATGAAGGCCAAATCACATCATTTTTACCAGCACCAAAAGTTGTCTTTTCTCCTGCAAGAAAAGTTCAGCACTGTCAGTACTCAGTACTAACACATTATTTTTAGAAACTCCACTAATTATAAAATTTTTTTTTAATTTTTTTTTTTGATAAAAAAAATACAGAAACTAACCCAGAAAAGCTGAATTAAAATCAAACTTACACCAAAACATAATGAAGGGAACCCATCTGAAAAATGGCAAATTGAATTCTTGATGACATTAGAGTAAAAAAAACCCAGATTTTGATGCCATATGCTACATAAAAAAAAAATATAATTAAATGTTCTTGATTACATTCATAATGGAAATTAATGCATCAAAATACTCTTAGCTAAATGATTTTGCTGCCATAACAGTAAGAAATTCATGGGAGTATAGAGTCAACAAAAGATTTGCTATTATTACTGATATAGTACCCCAATAATTCTTGCATACAACTGTTTGATAAAATGCTTAGCTGAAAAAAATGTGATCTAGTAGAATATAATTTGTGGCCATGTAATTTGGCAAGGAATTTCAGAATAATTAGCACGAATAATATCACAAACATTTAATAATGCATCATGGTGCACCCACTTTTTTGGGGCATTTAGATAAAGCATAGATTCTCTACTCACTAAATGGCAATTAGATTTTGGATATATTCAATGAAATTATGAAGTATATATTCAACAACTTGATACTGTAGTCTGTAGAATATTATTTGGAAAAATAAAATTAAGCAACTTGATAGAGTAAGAGAGGTTGAGAATCTTGATATTTCTATTAGAGAGATCATATAATAACCAATGATATAGATGGACACACCTCCCATTATATGAATTTATTTATTTTTATTTAATTTTTTTAAGAAATCTGGCAGGGAGATATATTACAGGAGGTCAATTTCCGCCAAGGCTAAAACACCTTGAGGGATAGGACCTAAGCAAACGAATTCGGTACAACCTCTAGTATCCCACCTCGATACAAAATTAGCTAGAGTATTTCCCTCTCTTTTAACATGAGATATAAGAAAAGCATTACAATATTGAGACAAAAAAGAAATATCTTCAATCAGCAAGCCTTTATCATGCCTATGTGCCTTCCTAAAGAGTAAAGACCCCATTCACAACCAACAAAAAATCACTTTCTAGCATAACATTGGAACAACCAAGGCGAGCAGTCAGTGGAGGAGCCAATGTCCATAAAATTGCTCGTCAAATGAGATTCTAGATCGTACCAGCCTGCTGGTTACAGACACCATTCGACCCTTGTTTGCTAAGCCAGTAAGCTGATCTAACGTTATACTCACCAGATTTTGCCGGCCAACAAAACATTCTGTCACTGGAGCACCTAACAGGCAGGTGCAAGGATAGAATTTGGGCCTGATCAGCAGCATTGATGTTATCCTGTAAAACATGATACATCCCTACACCACAACATCGTCTCATAATCAATCAAGTCACTAACCCAAAGGTTCAAGTCACTTTGCGGCACGGGAGAAGGAACATTGACAGAAGAGTTCCCTGGCAGACACACATTAGTCCAGACCATTATGTCACACCCATTCCCCACTCTTATCTCTCTCTCTTTTTTTTTTTTTTTTTTTTTTTTGGCATTTGCATTTGCTCAATTGTAAAATAGTAAAATTTATTTGTTAAATTAGTAACATCTTACTATTTAAAAAAAAAAAAAAGTTACTATGTACTTAGGGCCTGTTCTCTTCAGCTTATTTTCAGTTCACTTTAGCTCCAATAAGTTTAGTTTAACTTAGGCCTGTTCTCTTTAACTTATTTTTAGTTCATTTTAGTTTAGCTCTAATAAGTACAATTCATATCTTAATTTCCTTCTCTCATCTCATAAAATATTCAGTTCAGTTCAATCAATCAGAACAGGCCTTAATTTAGTTAAACTGTAAAAATTCATGGGCAAATTTTAAACACTTTTATACCTTCATCCATAGATAGATCGATGAGTAGGGTGATAGGTTTTTGAAGCTTGTTTCCTATAGGTAAAGAAGACATTGAGAGTAAAAGAGAAAGGATGGGGTTTCTTTTAATCTCACAACCGAAGTCCCTAAAGGGTATGATAATGCATTTCCTTTCCATCTTGAACCAAGCATACTAGATAACTGGCGGGGTGACCCCAAGTTCCTACCATGAGGAAATTGGCTGGACTGAAAGACGGTAAAAAAGATTACATAGAGTAATAATTGCTTCGTAATGCATTTATGATGATTACATAGAATAGCTACTGCCTTGATTTAATAACCAACACACAACTAAGCCTTACAAACAAATCACTACTTACAACAATATACTCAGCCAACTAAAACAGATGGCTGTAATATTTACTAGAGATTTCCTTCATTTCAGTGTATTTCATTGCTTCTAATTTATATTTGAATCACCAAAATTATTTGTTTTCATGCAAACATCAAAACAAGTTGGTCTGTAATATACACCATCCGATGAAAATCTGCCATCCATCGATAACACAATCAATAGATCAAAATCGACACATATAATTTATTTACGACGATGGTAATTCATAATTAAATCTAGAACAAAATAAATTTATCAGCTATTGATCATCTTCATCAATGGCTAATTGCCAAGAAAAGCTAAATTGAAAAGAAAAACACCGTAACTTAGTTAGGTGGTCGATCAAAATCAATCAAACATCAAAATTAACCAATTATAAACAAGTAAAGGGTCAATGGTGACTTATAACTGGAGTACGAAGAACAATAACGAAGACTTAAGCAGTATGAGTGCAGAGAAAACCAACAAATTAGCAGAGAAATTACAAAACAAATATCAGATTAATTAACCCATCACCTGAGCACAGAGGAACTAACTCAAGTAAGTATGTAACCGTGTAGAAAGCAAGCAGATCAACACAAAGTATCTGATTCGTAGTATAGGAAAGTGTTGGAGGCAAAAAAATTTCACCATTTTCGCGCGTTTTAGAGCCGAAACTGGAATTGAGATCATGTTTTTTTTTTTTTTTTTTTTTTTTTTTTTTTTCTTGTTCTTCTAAAAAGGTTTAAAAACTTATGATATACGAAGTACAAGTTAGGAGACACGTGTGCAATATAAAAAGCTCTATATGATTTTTTTTTTTTGGGATATTATCATTGATACACTTTAGCTTTTGGCTTTTATTTTTGATACACCTCATTAAAAAATGATTATCACTGGTACACTCATAATTTACTCCTAATTTACTACAGTAACTAAAACGTTAAATAACCTAACTAATTTCTGTTCAAATAGCCTTAAAATTATACTTCAATATAATAATAATAAAAAAAAACATTTGCATATCTCCCTTGACTCAGCTCTGAGATTGTGATAGGTCTTGTGGCTGACTTGACAGTTGTGAACTACTGAGATCAGTTGCACCAGAACCTTGAACCTTTGATTTTGATCTTGCAGCTTTTACAGCATTTGTCTGATCTCTCACTCTTGGGTTTTGGATCACAAGTGCTTCTCCAGCCCTAAGCTCTTTTCCAGTCAGGCCTCCTTTGTAAGTGGCTTTGTTATGTCCAAAATAGCCACAACTTGAGCATTTCACAGTCCATGACCTTTTCCTTAGCTGGTCCTCTCCTTGTTCCCTCTTCCTATTTTTGCTAGGTCTGCCCACCCCCCTTTTCATCTTTGGTGGGTGGACATGTTGAGGGTTCTCAGCAGCAGATTCAGGCCACTGACTAAGGTCTGGTATGGGATAAATGCAATGACTATAAACCTTTTTGTAGGTCTGTGCAGAATACCAGGAGCTAACATACTTGTGAGGGTCAACTTTTGCATGTGTCATTGCCCTTATGGCATGTCTACAAGGTATGCCAGTCAATTTCCATGCTCCACATGAGCAAATCTTGCTATTTAGGCTTAGAGGGAACTATGATTTCCCTTCATGAATCTCATATTCACCGAGACTTGACTGGAAAGCTCTACAGGTTGTTGTTGCTTTGTTGTTGTCTCTAACCAATTTTGCTATCTTGGGGCAGATTTCATCATCACTCATTGCCATTGCAGCTTCATGTCTTGAAGCTATTCTGACCATGCACACTCTCCTTATACCTATCATAATATTAACAAGGAAATTAGTAATGTTATCATCATATTCTTATGCAAGGTTATCTTGGATAATTCTTATGCAAGTAAGCTTTATCATTACCTTCTAGTAGAGTCAATACTGGCCTGCATCTATCAGCTCCAAGGGTTGAGTTAAAACTCTCAACAAAGTTTGAAGTGTTGGAGTCGTTGCACACATTTGGATCAAATTGGTGCTTACTCCACTTAGATTAATGGCCTAAATCTGCAAACCATAGCATGAAATCCTCACCACCTTCTTTCTGAAGTCTCTCCATTGCCTTTCTGAATGTGAACTTGTTAGTAGCATTGCAAGCTCTCCAGAATAGGATGTACATAAGTGGACCTGGGAAAGCTTTCTTGTAATTTCTACTTAAGTGTCTGCAACAATACCTTCTCTTAGCTTCAGGCCATACACTTTTCAATGCAACATCAACACCCTATAACAATGAAAGTAGTCAATGTATGCCATGGAATATAGTGATAAAAAACTCAAAAACATGCTTTCTTTTCTAATTGAATATAGTAATCAAAAACTGAAAAACATGACATATATACACACCTTCTGCCTGTCAGAAATGATTGTCCAATTTGTTCTCCCTAAATCTTTTACTATGTTGTGAATGTGCCAGAAAAAATAACTCCAGGTGTCTTTGTCTTCACTGCTTACAGTTGCATATGCAAGTGGGTAAATCTTATTGTTTGGATCCAAGGCAACAACAGACAATAAAACTCCTCCATAATTACCCTTCAAATGTGTTCCATCAACTCCAATTAATGGCCTGCACCCTGCTAGAAAGCCTTTCCACTGTCCAGCAAATGAGATGAATATGATGCTGAACAAGTTAACTCTTGGAATGCTTTCACTCTCATGCCATGCAACAAAAGCCTTAGATCCAAGATTGGTGTTCATTATTACTTCAGCATATCTAGGAAGATGACTATATGACTCATCATGTCTTCCAAAAATCTCATGAACAACAAATCTCTTCAACCTATACAAGGTGGCGGCTTTCTTCAAGTAAATGCAAAACCTTTGAAATAAAAGCTCATTTAGGGCCTTTCCACGAATATTTGGATTAGCCCTTATGTCTTCCATGACCTTAGGTGCAGCCCATCTAACTGTATAAATAGGATTGTACATTTCTAAACCCCTACAATTATGGACATCTGGCCATATCTTTTTAATAGCCCAAGTCTTGTCATCAGGCAGCCTACTAGCATGCATCCTCCACTCACAACATTGTGCCAAGCAAGTGACTGTGTACCTCTTGTTGTCTGCAGCTACCACAGCTATTGCAAATCCCTCTTAAACTGCATAATCTTTCAAGGTCTCTCTCAAATAAGCCTTGTTAATGAATATCATCCAAGTTCTAAGCACTATCTTCCCAAATTTGACTTCTTCATACATATCACCATGCTTATAAAGCTTCTCCATGTAATTATCATCATCAGAATCATCAATGAAAGTAGACCAAAAGCTATATTCCCAGTTGTCTTCTATGTGGGGAACATTGCCTAATTCAATCAACTCATCCTCAAGGACATCACCATCAGGAATAATTTCTCCATCTGAGTCATTAGGGTCATCATTGTTCTCACCAACATCAAAATCATCATCAGTAGAATCATCAGAACCAGATTCATCATCAGAACCATCATCAGAACCATCAGGATCAGGGTCAGAACCACTCAAACCATATGTCACCTTCCTTCTAGCATTAGGTGCACCACTCTCCCCTAACTTAATAAGTTCTGTACCCTGTTTAGGCACTATCCCTTTCTAACCAGTCCATATGCTCTTCCTAAATTGAGTAGTCTTGGGAATTTTTCTAGAAAATAGGTCAGGGTCAGTGATTATGTTTGATAGTTGGTTGTTTGGGCTTGATCTAACATTGGGAGTGTTGTGTTTAGCTGTGACTTGGGCTGGAGAAAACCTAGGACTTCTTCTCACAACAAGATTTTTGAAGACAGTGTGTGGTGAAATTAGAGAAGGAGGTAATTTTTCACTCCCATACCAAACAGAATCCAACTGTCTAGATTTGCCCTTACCCTTCCCCCCAGCAGAACTAACCTTGCCCTTCCTCTTCACACTCCTAGAACAAGCCTTCCCCTTCCCCTTACCCTGAGCTTTTTTAGTGTATTTCTCAAACTCCTTCCTGCCCTTAGTGTACTCTTTGCTATATTGCTCACCACCACTCTCATCAACATCATCTTGTAAATCAGCAAATGTAGTGTATGGGTCATGATTAAATTCTCTCCCAAAAATCTCATGTAATGGAGGGCTACTAGGAGATGACACACTGGTAGGGGCATTAGCATCTTCAAAATATTGAAGCCTCAATCTCCTCCAAGGTTTGAGTTTGGTTTTCTCATTCCCTGACTCAGAAAGAGTGGTATTTTCAGTAGGCTCAAGGCTAGTTTCAGTCTCAACCAAAGGATCTTCTGGTTGGTTTAGAGGTGGTGATTCAGAATCTTCAGGTACAGGTGGTGGTTCATGTAAACCTTGTGCAGCTAGTTCAGCATCTAATTTTTTCTTCCTAAACTCAGAGACTAAATCATTCATATATGTTGAATTTAAGGTTGTCCCAACCAAAATCTCATACCTCTTAGCATTAGGGAATGTTAGACCACCATCATCATTTATTGGCCAATGTTTTCTCCTATATGCATAAGCCAATATAGGGTTCAAAATAACTACTCCCTTCTTTTGTAAAATATCTTTAAACTCTATCATCTAGTCCATCAAATTGCACTTATCACTGTCCACAACAATATCAACAATGTGCTTCTTATATTTAAATTTCAGTGTAATTGTTTCATCCATTCTGCAAAGTAAATTAAAGTACCAAATTTTAAGCACAACAGTAGATCACAAACTCAAGAACACATAGTGAATACATAGATTATGCATACAACATCAATAACACTCTAACATGCTGTAGGCGTCGCTCAAAGTGCGCCTACAATTTGGGGACTCCATTGGGGACGGTTCTTGGTTATTTATCGATTTGAGTGATCGGTATTTAATTAAGATGAGTGGATGAGACTTGAAAGTTTCTTGAAAAATATTCTTGTGATTTAATTGGCATTGTCACATATGCATATGCATATTAGCTTACCTATTTTGCCACAATAGTACGTGTTCTACGTATGTGGCTAGCCCGGGGGATTTATGCTCTATCAACCCGAAAACGCTCATGGCAATAAGGGTTCATCCGAGTTTTTTAAATCCACCCAAACCATGGAGCGAAGTTCGATTTCATCACGAACTCGTGGAGCCGCCCGTTGGCATACATCCTCAAGGGAGGCTGCCTTGCTAACACGTCCAAACTCTTAACCATGGTACCCTTTGACACCCAAAAGCTTGACCATAGTCGAACATAGAACTTGACTTTAGGTTGCGAACATCATTGCATCATGCGTGACTATATGCTTATGTGTGCATTTTTTTATTGAGCTTTTTTTAATTATTGTTTTTTTCTTATCAAACCCCTGTTTTTTATTATTAGAGTCGATCCATAGATTTTTTTTTTTTTTTTAATTTTTGAGTCACCCGGATTTTAATTCCCGTATACTGCACAAGAGTCAACTTGTTTTGGTCATAGCCGGAGTTCTAGAAAGAGTTACGTGTTGTGCCACCTATGGATCTGTAGCCCCGGGTTTTATCTTTCATTTGGCGTAGGTTTTGTCTCAATCAGAGTCATAGATAAAAATTTATAACCGATATACTACAGCCTGTCCGGTTTAGGTGTCTTTTTAGCGTTAACTTTCTTTTGTTTTATTTTATTTTATTTATTTTTTATATCTTTTCGTGTCAAGTTAGTATTATCCAAATCCTTTAATTCATGTCAACTCGTATAACATAGTATTATAGATTTTTTTTATACCCATGAGTCCTAACTCTTCTAGAATTCTAGTCCTCTTCCTAGTTTCTTGTGATCGATTTTTGTGCTAACCTTAACATGTGTTCTTTGTCTTTGATTGTGGTTGAACTTATTTATGACTAATGATTGCCAATGAACCGTTTTCACCTAGTAAATAGTATAAACATTAAAATTGGACAAAATTAATCAAGTTAGTTTGTCTTTTAGTCTTCCGTGCTATTTGGTCATTGGGTCCTTTGGTTTTCACAACGTCCTCATATCTAGCCATGCGATCATACCACGAGTCTTAATAAACTCACCTAATCACACATGTTGAGTCATTGCACACACTTTGTCTTCGAGTAATGCACTATATTGTTTATGATCGTATATTAGGACCATGCATGCGTCGTTTTCGGTCGTAATAGGAATGAGTGGAGTATTTCCCATCAGATTTCAAAATTGTTTCATACACTCTTCCTTTCCAATCCGAGTACCAGGCGGCAAGAAGTAATTCATAAGAAACCATGAAGACGAAGCACAAGACAATTTCCCATATAAGATTTCATGCTTTTTTTGTTCTTCTTTCGTTTCAACCCTTTTCCCGTAATAAGTCTAGCATAGGTTCTCCTTATCCTTATGTCTATATGCCAAGTTCCATCAATGAGTATTTCTTTTCCTTTGCATTTGATCATGTCATTCGCCAAAAAAAAAAATCAATTATCGAACTAAACACAAGGTACACCAATGACTTGAGGCACCTTTGCAACACTAGGCGAAAATTGCTAATGGCCACCGGTTGAAAACCCCCCATTGCCACCGGTTTTGAACCGGTGGTCATTTGGGGGGTGGCAATAAATGGCCACCGGTTCAAAACCGGTGGCAATAGTCTTCATGGCCACCGGTTAACCGGTGGTAATAATAATTATGGCCACCGGTTAACCGGTGGCAATAAAAATGGCACAGTTTTTTTTTGCTGCTGAAGGCTGACTATTGCCACCTGTTTGAACCGGTAAACCGGTGGCAATAATAGGATCTAATTTTTTTTTTTGCCTGCAATTATTCCTGCAACTGATCCTGCTATAATATTCTGCCATATTATTGCTATAAATTATGCCATAATATAATTATTATTAATAATCATAACAAGAATTAAAAATATATATTTAGACTTTTATAATTAAAAACCAAATGCAATACAACAAATTAAATAAAGTGTGATATACAAATAAATACAAATAATACTAATAACTAGTCAATATTGTAGTCTAAAAGTTAATAATTAACAAAGTATAAATTCAAAATGATGCCACATTTACAAATTGAAGGTGATGAAAGATGCCAACATGTCTCAAACTTCATTAAGCTCCTTGCTTGTTAACGGATCTCCCTTTTGCACCTTGCAAAACTTGGAATATATATAAATTATGTTAGAATAAATTAAATTAATATGTAAAAAATTAAATACTTAGGAAAATTAAAAACAGTCGCATTTTCATCCAAAATAGCCTAAATAAGGCCTATTTGGCTTCTACTTGCCCATTTTCTACGTATTTAAACAAATGACCAAGTTCTTTCTCATAACATGTCAATTATACTTAGTTATAGGTGGCTAAGCCTTGAAATCACAGAAAAAGGGCATTTTACTAAGTTTAAGGTCGCATTTTCATCCAAAATAGCCAAAATAAGGCCTATTTGACTTCTACTTGCCCATTTTCTACATTTTTAAACATATGAACAATTTCTTTCTCATAACATGTCAATTATACTTAGTTATAGGTGGCTAAGCCTTGAAATCACAAAAAAAAATCAATTATCAAACTACACACAAGGCACGACTAACCAACGTAGTGATCGTGGAGTTGGAGGGTTCTGTGGATGACCCTTGAGTCAAAGTGGGGTATATACCCTCCTTCTTCCAAGTTTGCCTCCATTCACCAAATGTCTTGGCCCTCGTACGATGGCAGTACTCCTTCTTCAATGAATTTGCCTTGTTTTGCTCTCGAATTACCTACATAAATAGTAATGTTAGCATCATTACTGCAAAAAGAGTCAATATGTTATACAATTCTCATTAGATTTAGTAGTTCTTACAATTGCTTTGGGTCGAGTTTTTTGAATAACAAAGTCTTTCCACTCGTCCTCCATCACGCTTGGCCATTTTTTCCACGGTGGGTCTTGTTCCTCAACATCTTCCTCATTTCCACCTTCACCTTCATTTCCCTTGGAAGCTTTCTTCTTGTGTTTCTTTTTCTTATAGATCCATCCACTGGTCAAGTGGGTCTTAAAGCTTCTGAATCTCTCCCCTAGTAAAGAATCAAACACCCTTCTGTAATCACAAATACAAGCAATTATTATTTTC